ACACAGGAATATCTCACTTCGGATAAAATGTCAAGTTGGAATGATCCGGTTTGTTATCTTTGGCCGATATTCACTAAGCATTTCAATCTTAGTCTAATCAGTTGTCATGTAGCTTTATTAGAACCATTATACTTGAAGTATAGACATATTATGAAGAAATTAAATTCTGAAATTCAAAAATCTGATATGAAATCTGATCAATAACCTATACCGCATATATCTGTTGAACAGCATCAACATATACTAGCTGTCGATAGTTCGCAGTTTGTAAATGATAATATGCTCTCGTCACGTGAGAGAACTTCACGTTTACTTGCAACTATCTGCATCACCTGATGATCTCACTGGTTAGACAGCTTGTCTTCGCTTAACTGCTCCAATGCTTGACACCAGTTTATTTAGGTGGATCCTCCATGCTTGGGTGTAGTCAGCTTACAATACGTGTAATCCAATTCCACTAAACAAGAGCCAATTATACGTGTTCTCTTATTGCCAGTAGACCTCGCGAAACTTCCTGTGGATTTTGTTCTTCAGAGTAGGAAAGATGTCGTAAAAGGCGTGTAAAAAGACATCGCCTTCTTCATTTAGGTTAAGATGAGGTTATGCAGGCGTTTTGTTGTAAGTCCTGGACACCAGAAGTAAGAGACATAGACACGACAGAATACTTGAAAAGTTGTCTTAAGGTGTACGAAGCGACTTGAGTGGTCGGTGTAACAGAAAGATTGTTCCGAAATTCCATCCTGAACAATCGAATGACAACATATGTCGGTGTTCTGAAGTTGGAATATCATACGTCGAAATGACCCTTACCATTTCTCTTTTCCCTGTTCAAACTCAAATTTTAATGCATCTGTTTGTGGTTGTCCAATACATTGATAATCTATTGCTTGACGATGTGATCTTGTTGGCGTGAATGTGGGCTATTCTGATCTTGGATTATCTGGTGAGACTGTCGGTGCGTGTTTCTTGTGGACACAGTTCTCGACCTCACCTTAGTGGCAACATTCTGCTTCATTTTAAGGTACTTCTTACGCTTGAATTTCGGTCAACTCATTTCGTTCTACAGCACTTGTTTTCTACTTAGAAAATTATCTTCACTGCATAGCTGCTTAACGGCACTGTTCAGGCAATTTTGAGGTCTTGGCGGTATCATTGTTGAATGGAAGCAAACACACATTTAACCAAGAATAATCATGTTTTCGCTGTCTTTGGAGAGCTCGGTGACTGTTACTGTCTCAAGGAGATATTTTAAGCTGTACAGTAAAACACAGAGATGGGCTTCCTATGTCTAGACTACAACACACCGGTTGTGATTGCTACACTGAGAGAAGGCATGTAAACAGACTACTTAAATTCTTCCACTGGAAGAATCCTGAAACGCTTAGCACAGCTCATGGCTCTGTGTTCACTTCACCTTATCGGTAACACTTGTGAGTTTCCCAATCAGGAACAGACAGCTTTCGAAATTTGATGAAGCGTCTGCTGTTGTCAATTGACACTAAGATATGCACTTTCACCTCACCAGTCAGCTTTATGTAAAATCTTGTTTCAATAGGTATATCTCGTGGTAATTTCACCATGCTTTCCTTAACTAGCACTTTCTTTCATTTAGATCAAAATAATTCCAACGAATCTGGCATACGTGATAGACTCCAGTCTAATGAACAGTCAGGAACATTTGAGACTCTTAATAATGAAATGATAACTTATCTGCGAGGTGTCCACATTCTTATCAGACGTAAGTGGACTGAATCAGTCTACAATCAGTCTCCTGGACAGAAGTGAATTGAGGAGACTGCTTTCAAACAACTTCTCAGCTCTCGCCTTGTTAACCAAAACATCAAACACGAGATGTCACCGTTGGTAAGTTTAATGTATTATTACAAATCCCATTGCTCCTTTGAAGTTCAGTGCACACACACAGGCCTTACTTGCTAGACATTGCCTAGATACGATCATGAATACCCACAAGCACAGCTGTCCAAATAAGAACGTAGAGCAGTCAGCTGTATGTAAATTCGTTTTCTCTTTCTGACTAACTGTAACTGCTTGATCCGCTTGTTTCTGATCCGATATTTCAACCACAATTCCCTTATCAGCACAATTCCAAACTAATTTTACCACCAGCTGTATGTTGCAATTAATGCAATCAAAATCATAGATACTGACGAACGATTTATGGCGAACAACTGTTTGCCCTAATTATCCTTGACCTCAGTATGATTCGTCGAGAGTTCTTTCACACTACTACACACAGTTTCGATGGAAACTCACATCAAGATCTATGTTTGCTGATCAAAGGATTCCTTGAAGCAAAACACTACAAACTTAAACATGTAGGGAAAAACAATCATACACAAGTTCGACATCTACGAATAGACTTGAATCTGACAGGTAACATTGAATGACTTGATCTGATCAAAATAGTGGAGAGAGTTCTTGAGACAATTTTCAATACGTGACACTGTCGTTGAAAACTTACATGTGCATTTGACAGCTCACGTTCTCCCACCTAGAAGAGAGCAACTCAAAATTCCATTCTCACCCGTGTCATCTGTCACCGGAGATTAGTACGTTACAGTATTCACTCTAAGGATTATTTAGTCTGAATTTACATGTTAGTCATTATGTCATCACAACTTTCATCCTACGGTGTAGTCTATCGAATACTTTCCACACGGTTGTATACTGCATTAACAAAAGACTGCTATGTATATTTGAACATTCTGTTTCATGTTGTTTGATGTGAACCAAAATCACACGCTCAGTGATTGGTCAAAAAAATATCAAATCGAATGTTCAAATAGATATATTGAATGCAGTATTGAACTGTGGGAATACCTCAGAATAATATTCCAGGAGAACACATTGTCTGTATCACACCACCACAATTTCCCTCGAGAAACTGATCGTACCATCACTTATTGATCGACTCTGAAACACATTTTGTGCTATACCAAATCAGAAAACAATTCACCTTCACAGTTGTTATCAACTTTCGCTGTGATCATACGCTAAATGACACCGGAACTAATCTCGTTTTGATTTATCCCTACTCACAATGTTCACACCGTTCTAAAACACACTCAGTCCCTCCAAATGTACCACATACTTATCACCTAATAATGAAATACAGGAATGTCCAGATGTGCAGTCATCGGCTATACAACAACACGTGCAACACATTTGCTTCAGCATTTCAGAGTTTCGGATTCCAATCATTTACATCCACTTGAATTCTGTGAATTCATCTCAATGACTTAATTATATGGCCGACCGTAATCGAGCTGGAAATGAGGACGAAAACACTTAAATCGATGGTTTGTCCTATCTCCTCCGAGATGGACTGCGTTTGGACACAGCATAAAACGCCAAGTGAGTAATATTACTTATAGAATTTCTCTTGAAAATTTCATCCTACGTTCCCTGACATTTTCAAGTGAAGTGGAATTTGGGAAAAATTATTAATCCCTCTCATTTACATCTTTTCTTCACACACTGAGATACAAACACCCTTGTAGGTGCGTGCCCAATCGACTGGTTGGCACACTATGAAACATGGAGTATCAACAGATGTAGTGAATTCTCTCTGAGATGCTCTGTTTTAAACCGTTCACACAAAAGTGTGTAAATACGACTAGCCACATCTATTTCGCCATTACTCCACCTAAAATATGACTCGAGTGTGTCCACACCGTCGACTTAAAATCTATAATCCTTTTCTGACAGAATTAAGCGACAGGGTCAAAAGTATTTGTTTTCATGAACCATCCATCTAAACGCATGTATTAGTATTGCATGTATCAACTGACGACACTTGGCCGATTAGTATGAGACAAAAGAAATGCGTATACTAACCTGTAGTGGTGAAGATAAGAGTATGCATTTTTGATTGAAACAACTAAAGTGAAGGCGGTATTTGTTCTGATACTCTACTCCAAAAGTGACTCCACTGCCTAAACAACAACACTGATCACATAAAGAAGACAACGCAAGTATAAATTTGATTCTTTCAATCAAACGGCAGCCTGATTTAATCACTAGGCTACCAGACATTCCATGCATCAGAATGCCTAATCTCTTCTGTATTTCTTAGTGCAATTATATCAGGTGACTACTACATGAATTTGTGCGTTCATTCAATCAACTTCCAACTGAACGCTTCGCAATTCGTGAAGTAAATGAAGACAAAATGTACAAAACTGGTTATCTCTTCATATGCATCAAGATTGCGTCACATAATATACTTAAGATTATTACTTTGTAAGTTAATCCTCAACTCAGCTGAAATATTTCGGAACTTAATACGCCGAGCATTTCTCTACTATATGTTTATATATGATCTGAGATAAAGCTGTATTACTATAACTACTATTTAATATTTACATTTCTATTCTTCAATACTCAAATTGTTTGGAAGTGAAGACATTCAAATAAATGATGGAGTTCTCATCGTTTCCTCTGAATGGTGTCCTCAATGAAGTGTTAAAGTCCATCAAATTAAACAGCAAACAGCATTACATTATTTCACTTCACGACCGACATAATACAGTCATTCACATTTATTCATCATTTGTCGACGATATAAACAGCACAATCACAGATAGCATTGGCAAAATTAAAAGAAATGTAGTCGAAACGGTGGGTTAGTGAGTTACACAACATACGGCCACTAACCAAGGAGGTGAATTTACAAGAACAAACTACACGAAAATACCGGTGACTGAACTCATACGATATATCCTGCAATCCCAGCCATGCTAATCATCAACGAATAAAATCGTGGAAGCCGATTCTCAGAAATGCATTTCAGAAAAGAAATTCTTGCAAAATTACCGAATCGTAGGCAGAACACTTACACGCTACACCTGCACCAACCTCTTGAAATGGAAAGGGTGAAACCACATCGGTCGTGTATGTGACATAGTAGTGAAAGGTGAAATTCATCAAGTCAACATGAAACTCTTGCACAAAATAAACACTTAAAACAACAAACTCACCTCCATGGACTGACTCCATGTGTCTCTTCAAACTGCCAGCTGTAGTGGAATCTTTTCCACATACGTCACATTGGTATCTTTTACCTAATCATGGATATGAAATACGAAAAGGGGAAAAGTTAGTATAGTCACTGGGAGTCTGTTGAGTTAACTGAGAGGAGTATGGCTTTGTTATGATAATCCCTTCAGTAATAATAAAACTGGTAAGACGCCTATAGGAATCACATCCTATTCCACTACACATTAAATCATTTACAGCGATTTGAGTGGTCGGTGTAACAGAAAGATTGTTCCGAAATTCCATCCTGAACAATCGAATGACAACATATGTCGGTGTTCTGAAGTTGGAATATCATACGTCGAAATGACCCTTACCATTTCTCTTTTCCCTGTTCAAACTCAAATTTTAATGCATCTGTTTGTGGTTGTCCAATACATTGATAATCTATTGCTTGACGATGTGATCTTGTTGGCGTGAATGTGGGCTATTCTGATCTTGGATTATCTGGTGAGACTGTCGGTGCGTGTTTCTTGTGGACACAGTTCTCGACCTCACCTTAGTGGCAACATTCTGCTTCATTTTTAGGTACTTCTTACGCTTGAATTTCGGTCAACTCATTTCGTTCTACAGCACTTGTTTTCTACTTAGAAAATTATCTTCACTGCATAGCTGCTTATCACCATTGTTCAGGTAATTTTCAGTTCTTGATGTTATCGTTGTTGAATGGAAGCAAACACACATTTAACCAAGAATAATCATGTTTTCGCTGTCTTTGGAGTGTTTGGTGACTTATTAGTCACGATTCATCTTCACATTAATCACAGTTCTGTAGATTTTATACGATTGAACTATAACGAAGACATGGATTCTATTCACATAAATAATTGACTACAATATTAATAACAATTTCTATGATCCAGTTACGTATCCTATTGAACAAAATATGAAGAAAAGAATTATTCTAAACTGCTTTGAAAACCTCGGGAATAGGAGAACATGTGTACTCAAACCAATAACTAGTTAAAAGGACCATCAAGGTCAAGCTGAAAGCCTTTGAAGGAACCATAGACAGACTACAATTCAAGTTCAACACTCAAAAAGGGAAGTACGAAACTACAAAGGACACCTTCACTGGAGCTAAGTTGTAGTAGATAACCATTCAAGAAAGTTTTGTGGGAAAACTGCAAGTCTCTGAAAGTGATAACTAAGAAAACATCTTAAGCTATTTTTGAAAGAAAGAGGAGGCAAGACAAAGAATGACTCTCAACGGATACCTGCAAGCTAATCGTGGAGAGGACAATAGTGAAAGAGGAGTTGACTGAATACAAAGATGGACAACAGGAGGAGTTGAGTTTAATGTACACTGCATTGAATAAAGAAGTGAAGAAGAGTTCGAGGAAAGACAAAAGACAATTCTACGACACACCGGAAGGCAACTGAAGCAGAACAGGCAGGCCGCAGGCAGAAGACACCTCAGAATATTATATCAGATAACCAAGTCTACCGCCATCCGGGAAGAAACCGACCAAGATGACGACGACTAAAAAAGATGTTCAATGCGACTCCATTACCAGGGAGAAGAAAAAAAACACACAGTGGGCTGATTACTTTAAAGGACTCTTGAATTGACCAGCACCTGCAAATCGCCCGAAAACACCACTAACACCAACAGACGCACGGAACTGCCTACCAGTGCACACCAATCCTCCGACAAAAGCAGAAGTTTTAAATGTGACGAAGTTACTGAAGTCCAGGCACAGGTGAGGCGATTTTGAGTCCTTCGTATCATTATTTTTTTTGAAAAGAGTGAAATACAAATAATAGAATTTTCGCTGTTCTTGGAGCGTTGTGTGACTGTGTGCGTCTTAAAGGATTTTATTCACGCATAAAGAAGGACGCAGAAATAGGTTTCCTGAGTTCCGAACACGAGTCCGTTTGGGTAGCTTTAGTTATCAATTTTCATACTGAGAAAATATGATTGACAGACGCTCAATGAAGATATCTACGGATCATGTTGTGAACGAGGAGAATGTGGATGAGCATTCAGGAAGGAGACATGTCCTATGAGAACGATGACAATGAAGAATGACAAATACGATGAAGTAGTCGATAGTGAGCTAGATGATGGAGAGATAGATGATGTTCACGTTAACGGAGGCGATGGTCAAGAGGAATACGTTAACTACGATAGTGATGACGACGAGAAAGAGGAGGCAGATGACAAGACAACTCAAATTTCTACGGAAACTAAAAATGCTAAACTTAATCCTACTCTTCTAAAACCAGCCTCCCAACATAAGAGTGAAGAAATTACTCCAAAAGTTCCCACTAACTTGACAGAAAGAGTGACTGCAGAGAACAAAACTCAGGGTGACAAGCACAATAACACTGAGGCAGGATATGTGACCATAATGAACGGTACTCATAACTTGGATAGTTTAAGTTTGAAGAAACGGCTAAAGTTTGTAAAACTAAGGTTCCAAATAAAGCCAATCGAGGTGATACCTAAGGGCAAACCAGAAAGTGATAGATCAACTTCGAATCTGTTTGTTGGTAAGGTCACCAAATCCAAGACTATTTAGCAACTGAAAGGTCGCCTGCGTATTGGTTTTCAGCTTGTCTTCCTCAAATTGCTTGACAAAACACCTATTATCACCAACGCGATTACTTTATTCTCTTCCCAAAATATCGCAAAAAGATGTGCGAAATATTCAGATCTTTGAAGCTAGTTGACTCGGTAGTTTTATTTGTGAGTAAAAAAGAGATGTTTATGCAGATTAAACACCTAGTTCTCAACAGTCGTGCACTCTGTTCCCCATTGTGCCTGCAGGCTTATCCATCGAATGAACCAAGATGTAAGATTTCAGCTGCATATTCACCATCCGATGGTCAACCATCGCAAATTGTTTCAAGACGTTTACGCATCTTTCTGAAGTGAGTGAAATTTCCAATAGTACAATGTCTTCTCATGTTGATATCTACAATGTGCATCATTGTATACTTCATGCATGCTGCTGATATATTTCAATTGTTTCGCCACTCATATATTTTTGCTCACATACTGCTGTCACAACATGCTCTACTAAAGCATTGCCTTATTCCTTCGTCAGACATCAGTAACAATGTTCGTCGTATTAATGAGTCTACAGCGTCTTCGGATAATAAACTCTCCCTCTCCAAAATTCAAAGATTGCTGCTCATCCTGAGAGTAATTCATCTCTTTTGTCTTCATTTTCATTGAATTCATCAATTTATCAAGGACTACACGAGAAATCACTAACTGATGACAATGTATATTTATCTGCAACGCATAGGCACTTAGAAGGTTCAGGATGTAATTGTTCTGATGATTCTTCATACTTACATGACATCAAACATCGTCTTCTTCAGCGACTTTATACTTCATCTATTGTTGGTGACGATATCAAATCTGGAATAAATATCTAAAATATTCTATGTGAAATCGAGTGGAATTGACACAGGAATATCTCACTTCGGATAAAATGTCAAGTTGGAATGATCCGGTTTGTTATCTTTGGCCGATATTCACTAAGCATTTCAATCTTAGTCTAATCAGTTGTCATGTAGCTTTATTAGAACCATTATACTTGAAGTATAGACATATTATGAAGAAATTAAATTCTGAAATTCAAAAATCTGATATGAAATCTGATCAATAACCTATACCGCATATATCTGTTGAACAGCATCAACATATACTAGCTGTCGATAGTTCGCAGTTTGTAAATGATAATATGCTCTCGTCACGTGAGAGAACTTCACGTTTACTTGCAACTATCTGCATCACCTGATGATCTCACTGGTTAGACAGCTTGTCTTCGCTTAACTGCTCCAATGCTTGACACCAGTTTATTTAGGTGGATCCTCCATGCTTGGGTATAGTCAGCTTACAATACGTGTAATCCAATTCCACTAAACAAGAGCCAATTATACGTGTTCTCTTATTGCCAGTAGACCTCGCGAAACTTCCTGTGGATTTTGTTCTTCAGAGTAGGAAAGATGTCGTAAAAGGCGTGTAAAAAGACATCGCCTTCTTCATTTAGGTTAAGATGAGGTTATGCAGGCGTTTTGTTGTAAGTCCTGGACACCAGAAGTAAGAGACATAGACACGACAGAATACTTGAAAAGTTGTCTTAAGGTGTACGAAGCGACTTGAGTGGTCGGTGTAACAGAAAGATTGTTCCGAAATTCCATCCTGAACAATCGAATGACAACATATGTCGGTGTTCTGAAGTTGGAATATCATACGTCGAAATGACCCTTACCATTTCTCTTTTCCCTGTTCAAACTCAAATTTTAATGCATCTGTTTGTGGTTGTCCAATACATTGATAATCTATTGCTTGACGATGTGATCTTGTTGGCGTGAATGTGGGCTATTCTGATCTTGGATTATCTGGTGAGACTGTCGGTGCGTGTTTCTTGTGGACACAGTTCTCGACCTCACCTTAGTGGCAACATTCTGCTTCATTTTTAGGTACTTCTTACGCTTGAATTTCGGTCAACTCATTTCGTTCTACAGCACTTGTTTTCTACTTAGAAAATTATCTTCACTGCATAGCTGCTTATCACCATTGTTCAGGTAATTTTCAGTTCTTGATGTTATCGTTGTTGAATGGAAGCAAACACACATTTAACCAAGAATAATCATGTTTTCGCTGTCTTTGGAGAGCTCGGTGACTGTTACTGTCTCAAGGAGATATTTTAAGCTGTACAGTAAAACACAGAGATGGGCTTCCTATGTCTAGACTACAACACACCGGTTGTGATTGCTACACTGAGAGAAGGCATGTAAACAGACTACTTAAATTCTTCCACTGGAAGAATCCTGAAACGCTTAGCACAGCTCATGGCTCTGTGTTCACTTCACCTTATCGGTAACACTTGTGAGTTTCCCAATCAGGAACAGACAGCTTTCGAAATTTGATGAAGCGTCTGCTGTTGTCAATTGACACTAAGATATGCACTTTCACCTCACCAGTCAGCTTTATGTAAAAT